GCATAAGTTTAGGAGTGGTGTGGACAAATGAGAAGCAAGGAAGAAAGATGATAACAGATGGTGCAAAGTCTGTGAAATAAACTACCAAAGCAGCATGACAGTGACTGGGGAAGCACCCTTGGGATTGAGAGGGTCAGAGAATCTCCTCCTCTGAGGGGGAAACACTAGAACTGAGACAAGAGCCAGACAAAGAAAAGACTTGCTTGACCTGTTCTCAGATTGGAGAGGAGGCAAGAGAAGGTACAGAAGATGGAGTGAAAGATGTCAGAGACCGGACAGCCACATATGCCGGGTTACTGGGGCTTTGGTAAATGATAGGAAGGAACTTAAATCATCATCAAAAAGCATTTGAAGGAAAAGCCTCAACTGCATGGCACTGTGACATTCCCTAAGTTGTCTTGCATTGATATGCCGTTCACCATTACTGGCCTTTCAGGTTTATATTGCCCTAAATCTATTCCCAAAAGCAAGAACTGGGTGGCAGCACTTTTTTTCCTCTTTCTTATGGTGCCCAGCATACCATCATCTCACAGAAAGACACCTGATGCATATATACACAAACACACATCCATACAGGCATACAAATACAAACACACATCTATATAGTGTTCATTTGTGCAGACGGTTTTAAAAGCCTATATTTAAAAAACATCTGGCCAAAAGAACCATTTTTCTGTAATGTAGAAACTTGCCAAAAGAACCATTTTTCTGTAATGTAATTGAACCGTTCATAATATAATAGGGAAATAAAACACTTAGAATTAAAAGCTTGGTTGATAGAAACACATGTTTATCTATCAGTAAAACGAATTTGGCTGTTCTCTTCCTATCAACACAAAAGCAAGCCAAATAGCTATTTCCTGTAAAGGGAAGCCCCTCTATTGAAAAGGAAAAGAAAAAGAGGCCATAAGCAGACGCCAGCACCAATCACCAAGGCCTCTTTTATGCCTGCTTGCTGCCACCTACTGGAGAGCTGGAGGACAGAGACCTGTGCAAATTTCGGGTCAGAAAATGTATTAAAATAACTAAAATTGGACAATTGGTGCATTTGAACAGAGACCCCACTTTAGGATTCAGAAGCACCTAAAAGTATTTTTTAACTTAATAAGTCAACACAGCATTTTAGAAGTTTGGACGTGCCTATTTGGACTTGTTTTCTATTTTTAGAGTTGTTTGGGTTTTTATTATATATATCTCTCAGGTGTAAAACATGATGTTTTGGTATACATAGTAAAGTATAGTTAATTAAATTATTTATTCATAATCTTGCATAGGTACCTTTTTTCCTGAGAATACCTAAAATCTATTCTCATAATAAACTTCCAGTGTATAATATGATATTGACTACAATCTTCATGTAGTACATTACATCTCCAAATTTATCATCAAAGATAACTGCATCTTTAACCTAAACAAGAAAATAAGGGTAATAATTTAAAGAAAGTTGAATATCCCAAAAGTTTAATGTATAACTAGCATTTCCAGAAAAATATTTAGAATGAAAAACAAAATGTTTGACTAACGAAAATTTTTCTAGAGCCAGTCAGGGTGACATATACCTGTATTGTCAGCTATTCAGGAGGTTGAAACAGGAGAATCACAAGTTCAAGACCAGTCTGGAAAACTTAGCAAGACCCTATCTCAAAAATTAAAAGGGCCAGGGGTGTAGTTCAGTGGTAGAGTACTTTCCTAGCTTATGCAAATCCCTGAGTTCCAGCCCAGTACTGGAGAGGGGGAAAAAAGAAAAACCCAATGGGAATAAGATGGATGAGTGAGAGAGACAGATTGATTTGTCTGAGAGATGTTAGAGGGCTTATGCAACTCTGCTGAAGGTAGATGGGACAGGCTCCAAGTCCAAGCCAGTCTGGCTCCATAGGGTGCATGCCCTTGCAGTTGTCACACAGGGCCCAATATGCACAGGAGTCCCTTGGTTTAATGCTCTGCTATCACCATCTTGAATTGTTTTTATTTTCTTCAGTCACATTGCCTTATTTCTCAAAATACCACAAAGTTTATAATCCTTAATTAAAAGAAGGAGTTTTTCTCTAAGTTCCAAAGGAATATCAATATGAAGGATAAGAAAAAAACAGGTTGCAGAGCTGGGGTTGTGGCTCAGTGGTAGAGYATTTGCCTGGCATGTGTGAGACATTGGGTTCGATTCTCAGCACCACATATAAATAAATGAACAAAATAAAGCCCCATTTTAAAAAAATAAAGGAATTTCTTTTAAAAAATAGGAACGAAAAAACAGGTTGCTACTTGGATCAAGTGGTACAAAGGAAACCATCTTAAAAATCTTGGTAACTTTTGTATAAGGGGACTCACTTTCATTTTGCACTAGTCTGGCCCAGGGGAAGAGGCTGGCCTCAACACAGAAAGGGAAGCTCTACTACTATAGTGGGAGGAGGTGATAGAGAAGCAGGGTCAATGCCACCCACTGGCTGCTTTTTCTGAAAAGCAGAAAGAGCTATCTGCCATGATGAGCAAAAATACAGACAAGGTGGAGAAGGTCAAAATTCATGTACGATGGAGAAATCTGACAGACTCCACCTTAACCAGGTATTAAGATTAACATCACCTGTAATAAAACAAATCAACATCATGTACTGTTGGGGCCTGATCTCCTGAAGTCACAGAGAATGCGCCCTGAAGAATCTTAATGCAGAGTTCCTGTTTATTAGCTAAAGCCAAGGAGGGTGGAATGCTGAACACGGCAGGATGGCAATAACTCCTCACACTAGGTTAATTCTTGCAGGACACGACGACCCCAATTAAGGAGAAAAATAAGGCCCAACTATACTACCTGCACGTACTTTAGGTGTATGTTTCCTGGCATTTTATGAGAACATATCCTATTTTGTCTACTGGGGAAAATGTTTTCTTAGTACTAGCAAACAAGTTAGTTGTTTTCAATATGTAATGCCATAGTTAAGACTTAACTTCACACTGCCCTATAAAAGATGTACTATGCAAGAACAAAGCAGCCTCCCCTGCTCCCCCCCATAAACAAACTGTCAATTTTAGAACTCAGAGTCTTCATGCATAATCACAGGACCAAACATTCAGCAGTAGTTAATTTGCGGCATGTGCCTCCTGATATGATGCACTAAAGACACAAGATCACTTTTGTGCTATTTGATATTCCTCCCAAAATGCACAACACCTCAATGTAATCACAGAAAACCCAAATGGGGACACATTCTACAAAATAAATGACCAGCACTCTTGAAAAGTGTCAAAGTTTTGAAACACAAAGAAAGGCCAAGCAACCGTCACAGATAGGAAAAGGGAAAGGAGAAATGACAACTAATTGCCACATAGAATTTTGCATTATCCTAGAACAGAAAAAGGACAGTTAAAGAAACCTAGTGAAGGACTGGGGCTTGGGTTCAGTGTCAGACCACTTGCCTAGAATGTGTGAGGCACTGGGTTCGATCCTTAGCATTGCATTAAAAAAAATAATAATAATAAACTAGTAAAATAAAGGCATATTGTCCATCTACAACTACAAAAATTTTTTTAAAAAAGAAACCTAGTAAATTTCAAATGAATCAATGTTAATTTCGATGACTATCATTCGACTACATTTATGAAAGACTTTAAAACTAAGGGAAGCTGGGTAAAGAATATATGGAACTTGGGCTGCGTTGTGGCTCAGTMGCAGAGCACCTGTATGGCATGTGTGAGGCACTGGGTTCGATCCTCAGCACCACATAAAAATAAATAAAATAAAGGAATAAAGGTATTGTGTCTGCTACAACTAAAAAAATGAATAAATAATATGTGAAATTTTTTTTCAGCTGTTCTGCAAGCCTCAAGTTATTTTAAAATGAAAAGCTTACATATTCATGTGGATTATTTTCATTTGTGATTTTTTAAATGCTATTAATAATTCCAAGACCCTCAGTCACTACCTTGGAAGTCTAGCACTACTCCATCAGTCATTGATAAACATTTCTTTGTCAATACAAAGTGTCGGTAACAGAAAAGAAAGGTTCTAGTCCCCTTAAAAAATATGTCTTTGTACCAATCAGAGCCACGAATTTCTACCATGTTTCCCCCACATGAAAGCATCATTGCACAACATCGTGGCAAGGCACAAGGGAGAGAAGCAAAGAAGGAAGAACAGGAACAACCCTTTGGTTCCTACTTCTCTGCCCACCAGAGCCACACGTCTCTATCAAATGAGTGCATTAATTAAAGCTTTTGAAAATGTGTTGCACACAACGAAACCACACAGGTTGCAAGGATTATTTCGCATTTCCTTTCTCTATCTTAATTATGCTTTTGCTGAAATGTGGGTCATACATTGCTTTAGAAAAATGAGGATTTACAAAGAACCTTGGGTAGCACATCCACCCATTCCTGGCACAGAACCTGCTCCATATAACTATTCTGAATGGGTGAATCTGCCAGAGCTGTGGCTCTGCTGCCACCCAGTGGCAAGCATATGTCATAGCACCTAGCCCAGGAACATCCCAGAGGAAGAACTAAGGACATTTTTTGTGTTGTCCCAGCCTACCACATCTCAGGAGTCAACAATGCAAACATGAATTATTGGGAAGATAGGTATTAAAATAAATATGAGAGCCAGGTGCGGTGGCACACACCTGTAACCCCAGCATCTCAGAAGGCTGATGCAGGAGGATCACAAGTTCAAAGCCAACCTCAGCAACTTGGCCAGGCACTTAGCAACTCAGCAAGACCCTGTCTTTAAATAAAATATTAAAAGGGGTGGGGATGTGGCTCAGTGGTTAAGCACCCCTGGGCTCATTCCTCAGTACCAAAAAATTAAATAAATAAATACATACATACATACATACATACATACATACATACATACATAAATAAATAGTGATGGGGTTGAAATATATAAATAAATAGTAACAAAATACTTCCTCCAACTTAAGACTGAGGACTGTTCCCAAGACTAAATCAAAGCCAAGACATGTTACTGGTACCCAGGAGACTGACCCCTGGGCCCCCAACTTCAGGCTTACCTGCTTTGGGTCAGAGATAGCAGCGCCAGGAGCAGGGGATTCCAGTTCTATGGTCACAGGCCCATCATTCTGAATGTGTACCTGCATATAGGCACCAAACTTGCCATCTGAAAGAACAATTCAAATAGTTTTAGAGCTGGAGATCCAAGGCTACCCTATCTATAGAGCACATCTATGTCAATGCAATCTGAAACCTGAGCCGTAGCACCAGCCAGTCAACACAGCACAAGATGGCTGGCCCCGAAATGAGGGAAAGGCAAGTTTAAACAGCAAAAGCTTCCACATCCCAAAAGACTTGGCAAGAAAATAAAGGTCTGGTAACACCAAGGGAGAGAAGAATGGGGGCAACAGCATGTAACATGGCAGGGGGGTAAACTGGCCTGACCACTTTGGGAGGTAATCTTAGCACCCTATCTAGTAAGGCCCCTCCACCTCCAACCATGGACAGCTGTTCTGCTCTCAGGCCTGTTGGACTCAGGCTGACCTCATGCCCTGGGGTTTCTCAGATACCAGACCCAACCTCAAACTCAGTAACTTCTCAAGCTTCTGCTCCTACCACAACCCTACAATTTTCACCACTGATTTCTTCCCCACCTAGTTTCCTCTCTCCAATGATCCTTAATCTCAGAGTGACTTAACAAAGTGGGCACATCAATTCTTGGTCTTCTTGGGCCCACAGTAAGTAAGTAGTACTGTAAATTGTACTAGAACCACCCAAGCTATCACCACTTTTATATGCAAAATTACTCCAGTTCCTTCCAGGGAGCCAAATATGCCCAAATACTGATGACTTTTCGTGACCTCCTATCAGATTAAAATGGCCATTCAAACTAGCAGAGCTTTTGTTTTACAACCATGTCAGACTAGCTAAAAAGACATCAGCTGGGAAGGAAATCATGTGTTTAATTGCATGCTAAAATTATGGCTACAATTAGTGGCAAATTTCAGCCGCTGCACTCCTCAGGGAGGCTGAAGGCAGACTCAGGAGGAAAGGAATTATTTCCGACCTTGAGTTTCTGTTGCCAGGATATACGGCAATGCTTCACGGTGTTTATCATTTCAAGTAGCAAGAAATTTATTTTCTTTTCCTGTTTTTCTTCAGTTAACTACAGAACTATTATCTGAATTTCCATTTGTACACACAATAAATCCAAAGACATGTTTTAAGAGGCCTTAAACTGGTAACATTTTTTTCCAGTCCAGATCAAAGGGTAAAGTCTCCAAGAAAAATTACACTAGCCAGAGAAAATAAATATATTTTTTAAAGTAAAAGACAAAAACATAGCTACTAAACTACATCTGGGCTCCTTCAATGATATAATCAAGTTGTTAAATACAAGTCTCAGGGTTCCACCCAGGGCTGCAGGATAATCACATGTCAAACACATTTATGCCACATGTTTCAGGCAGGAAGACTCCCAGCTGGGGTCCTAGCAGCCACAGGCTGGTCTCCAGCAACAGCTGTCTGAGCACACCCCAGCACCCCAGCTGGAAGCCGGCACCTCACTATAGGATTCACCATTTACCTGCAAAGGCTAGTGTCCAYGCCCATTTGGACAATGCCAGACTGGCTTTCCCCTCTCTCCAAAAGACCCACAAACCTCCTCTCCATGGTTTTGTTTTTTCCAGGACAACAGCAGGACAATCATCCTGGGGCAGTTACAGCGAGCATGTAGGAAGTCTCAGTCACTATTATCATCACACCTACCACTGTCCCTGGTGGCATTTGGGCAACTGGGGACACCACAAAAAAAAAAACTATAGCAAAACAAGCATGCTATCGAAGAAAAATGGGGAAAATTAAAGGGGTGTGCTGTTGCTTCTTGGCCCAGTTACAATCAAGCCCATTTTCTCTTCAGAACAAGGGCATGACCTGGGGCTCAGCCTACCTCCGAGGACTGTTAGGGAACAAGGAGACTCGAGTTAGCCCATCTGAACACATCCCTTAAAAGCAGCTCTTCACTACCAAGGAGGCACAGGCTTCGTCTCTGTTCTACTTTCAATATGTCCTGTACACACTGAACCTGAGCAGGGAAGAAGGGATTACTACTGGAAACCCCAATACTGGCTACACAGGCCGGGGACATGAAGAAATCAAGCAAAGGAGTGGCACTGGCAGGGAGCTCAAAATAAGCCCATGGCCATGCTAGGGTCACCACCCAGCCGCAGGAACTTGATGTGGACACACAGGATTAACCCAGAGAATGTGGGAGTGACTCTGGTGGGCTGCTGGCCTCTGAGACGGCTCTGTCCTCAATCAGAGCTCCTTCTATGGAGACAGGCGTGCTCCTTGGCATTCCCAGAGGATGTGACCAATGCCAGTGTACCACGCTGGGACAGAGATCCCATCACAGTGGCAGATGCCAGCTCCAAGGGGCCTGGAAGGAAGAGGCAAAGGCTCTGCAGGCTTCAGCAGAGACCAGAGGCCCTAGAAAATATGTTCCTCAGAGACTCAACTGGGAAGATCAAATCTGACAGCAAATGGGAACATTATAGACCCTTTAGGCATTGACAGCTAAGTTTCTCAGAATGTGAACACCCCACTAGGTGGGCAGCAGAACCATGGTCCAATTTCATTCCACACAGTCCTGGAGGGGTCTGGAATTGTGATCCTAGAATTTTGTGGCTTCTCCCCATACTCTGGTCTCCTCATCTTCCCCCACCCGCCACCAGCTTTTAGATAGCTTTTTTTTTAAGTTATTATGTGCATAAAAGGAAAAAAGCAAAGAACAAAGTCATCCAGTTATAAGCAGCTTACGTAGATGTGTCCCTCCAGGTCATCCATATACATAAGCAACATCCCATTTTGTGTGACTGAGATTACAGTGTGTATCATGCTTTTCCACATATCATGAATATTCACCAATTCAAAATCCCAAAGCTACATGAGTATTTTTGATAGCCAAGAATACCAACTCAATCTGTTACATGTTCTACTCATCTTGAGGTGCTCTGCTTGGCTCCACAGAGGTTCAACCATTTGAGGGAGATACACCACAGGGCAGCAGATATCTCAGGCCTGTAACGTCAAGGTACTGGGGAAGGGACAGGCCCTGTGGCCCAATACCAAAAATGCCTAATCACAGGAGACCAAGGGTACCTGTCTCTAAAGAGCCAACCTCAATCCCAAACCTAAGAACAGAAACAAATATTTGAATGGGAAACACCTAGGACCAAAATTCACCTTCAACCAAGAGATAAAGTTCCCAACTGAGCTTAAATTCTGAGATCTTGGATTCAGGACCATCAAGGTAGCATAATTATTGCATAAATGGAGATTCAAGGCAAGGTTTACTCTGACCATCAGGCTTTGCTCAGGCATCTCTAGTTCGCCTGGGCCTGGCATTATTGTGCCTCAGGTAACTTTGTAAGAGGCTGAAGTCTGCCTGGTCTTCTAATGGAGACACAAAGGAACTTGTGCAGGGATACTGTAGTGTATGAGGCCCCAAAGGACCTACAAGGACACTTGTGTGACACAGCGTAGCTGCTGAATAAACCCAGACTTGACTAAGCTCTCCATCAAGAGCAGCCAAATAAGAAACCAGGTAGGGTCAGGGGCAGTGGTGCATGACTGTAATCCCAGTGACTCAGGAGACTAAGGCAGGAGGATTGCAAGTTCAAGGCCAGCCACAGCAAATTAGGGAGACCCTCAGCAACTTAATAAGACCATTTTGGAACAAAAGATCTTTTTTTTTTTTTTTTTTTTAGTGCAGGGTATGTAGCTCAATAGAAAAGAGTTCCTGAGTTCAATCCCCAGTGAAAGAAAGAAAGAAACAAGCCAGCCAACTAACCAACCAACCAATAAGGGAGACGGCTTCTGAGTTCACCAGGTCATAGGATTTGATTTCAGACTTAAATTTCTCTGGACTTGATTAAGATACAGAATTTAACCTTGGCCTGTAATTTCTCCCTGGGACTATGACAATGGGAAAGGATCTACATTCAAATTCAGTGCATGTCCATGTTACTGGCATTTGATGAGCTTCTCACATATCTTATTATTCCACTGTATTAAGATATTTTACTTAACCTCACTGCAGAACCACTTCGGGGCTGGGCTGGGCTGGGCAGAGTGGCTGGAGGCAGCACGGAAAATGGCCTAGGGAACAAATCTTCACAGTTGGAGCAAAGTGGCCTTGAGGGGCTTCACAGCAGGGTTTTGACCCAGGTCAGAGCTTCTGGGGGCAAAAAACATACAACAGAAGCAACCTCAGAGAAGTTTCAAGGTGGACTGGGAAGACTAAAATGACAACCCTCCCCTGAGCAGGGAACCACCACAGCAGGAGTGAGCCTCTGCTCAGAACTACCTTCTACCTGCTCCTATCCCCACCCAGGAAGAGAGCCACAGTCCTTAGAAAGGCACAGAACTCTCTTCACTGCACCTCCCTCTACACACACACACACACACACACACACACACACACACACACAAGGAGTTGTTCTAGTCATTACTGTTGAGAAGTAAGAGACAATGATCCTTAAAATCTTTCCCATCTTAAAAGTATGTTACCACTGCAGCATAAACTTCTGTGGGGAGGTGGCTCTCTCAGGCTCCAGTATTGGGCACAGCTTGAAGGAAGACCCAGCTGGAGGCAGGACACACAGGAACAGACTGTCAGAATCATTCAGATGAGAAACGATGACAGCTTGGGCTGGGTGCCTGCAGCAGAAGGGGCATCCTGTTCCCAGATTCTGCATGTGTGTCAAAGGGGAGGCTGAGAGGATCTGCTGATCAGGCTTGGGGAAGAGGAATCATGCAAAACACTGAAGTTTGGGATCACAAGTTCATTTATTAGAAAATAATACTAAAACACTAAATGAAATAAGGAACTAGAAGAAGAAATCAAATAAACCACACAAGAGAAAGTGAAGATGATGAAATCAAAGAGTGAAGACCAAAGCAAAACAATGAAGTAACAAGCAAAAAAAAATAAATAACTAGACTTAATGAATTAACTAAAGAGCTAGTTTTCTGAAAAAATATAAAATCATTTGGGGGGGAGAAAATGCAACTAAACTACAATAAGAAAGAGATATGATTCTAGATACAGAGATCTTTCTAAATCATTTTTTAAAAATCTATAAATTATCTTCAAGTAAACTTGAA